AGTTTGCTCCACCCAATGCATTCCACTCACACTAATTATTATTATTGATACTTTAGGACAATGGATATCACCGACTGTCACTGGAGACAGACCACCTCCTATTGATGAATTCACTTTAACATCAATTAATAATTCCAGTGCTATATTATTTGGAGGTGACACTGCTAATAGAGACAGTAACAATGTATATATTCTTAATTTTACTGATGCATCAGTGGTGAGTGTATTATTAGTATAATTACATTAATTATTAATTAATAATGTATTGTATGTGTGTATTATTATTCATAACACTGAGCGTGTGGGTGTGGTTTATAATAATTAAATTTTATTTTATCATTTTAGAATTGTTCAAAGTTATCTAATCCTAGAGGATCAGTACAATGGCCTGAGGAAAGACGTTCTCATTCTAGTGTATTGATTAACACTAGCTCAGGACCACACCTACTAGTGGTGGGTGGAACTTTTAATTACGATATTTGGATATTTGATATTAACAATAAATCATGGAAGAAACTGGTAAGTATATTATAATATAATAACAATACATCATAACTGGTTATTATTATGTACTAGTAATCAAGTATTGTACTTATGTATGTTATACTGTATAATGTAAATAATTAATAATTACTGAAAGAATGGTTTACATTAATAATACAACACTATATTGGTTTAGGGTATGGCTATACTTAATACCGTAGGGCACCTTTTTTCAAAGGCTGTAAAGTTTGTGAATTTTCCCAAAAATCTATTTTGTGGACTTAATTTTTGCGAATTTATGCCATCTGTAATACTATGTAATTTGATTTTTGCAGAAGTAATTTTTGTGAATCTTCAAAAAATCACGAAATCCTCCAAATATACAGCCCTTGAAAAAAGGTGGCCCTACAGTACCACCACACAGTACAGTATTGAGGAATAGAATCATTTTCATTGGTGGAGATGACAAATTAATTATTAATACAATCTACATGTATGTATCTTCTTTATAGTTTCATGTACCAAAAAATGTCACTAAGAGATGGTGTCATTCTCTCTCAGTTTGGAGTGTGACTCCAACCACTAACTGGATAATTGTGTTTGGAGGAAAGAAGGACTATTATACATGTACAACAATAAGTGATCCAGCAGTTATTGAACTCAGTGAGTACATATTGAACATACATGTAATGATTATGAATTAACAGTATAACCTTTTTTATTTCACCAGAGTTGCTTTAAAATAAATTGCAAAGATGAATTACAGTATAAGTGCTTTAGACTATACAGTACTAAGTTACTAACTTAGTAACTTAGTTATTATATATACACATACATGTCCATGTCATTAATTCAAGGATTGTAGTAATAATTTTGTATTTTCTAATGGAACTTTAATACATGTAATATGTTCAATTACCAATGTTACTTTATTTGATTTAGTCCTTGGTACTAAAGTCTCTGGCGTTTTTACAAAGAAATATATTGTTGATTGGTTTACTAGTATAATACCTCTGGACCAGTATCAAGAGAAACTACAAGAAAGGAGAAGAGGATGGGAAGCATCTCAACCTGTTCAACCTGAGGATAGAAGAGAAATAGACCATCTGACACGTGTACTACAAGAAAGGGAAAGGGAACTAGAGGAGGAGAGAAGAGAAAAGGAACAAGTTAGAAACAGACTACAGCAACAACTTCATGGAAAAGAACAACAACTTCAAGAAGCACAGCAACAAGGACAAGAAAGAGAGAGGAAAATTCAACATGGCAGGGAAAGAGAGAGGCAGGCCAGAGAACGAGAGCAGGATCTTCAGCGACAGCTTCGAGAAAATGAGAAACAACTTCAACAAAGGCAAGAAAGAGAGAGGGAAATTCTGCAACATGGCAGGGAAAGAGAGAGGCAGGCCAGAGAACGAGAACAGGATCTTCAGAGGCAGCTTAGGGAATCTCAAGAAAGAGAGCGACAGCTTCAAAGGCAAGTAGAAGGTGGCCACCAAAGAGAACAGTCCAACAATGTCTGACATTATAAAAGAATTGAATGAAAGCATTTTAGTGATGTAGTCTGAATTTAGTGTTGTATGTTGATTTTTGGATTTTGTTGTTTATTTTAAATTTTTGTGTTCTTTGCTTCAAATTTTTGAAGTTTGTTTAAATTTTATAAGTTCAAGTGTCCGGAAGTTTACGGAAACTACCAACCAGTTTTACTGTATGCGCATGCGCAGAAGGAGCACGTGAATTAAAATGGCTGACGTGAAGTAGGTAACTAGCCATTAATTGCAGTACGTTAGCCATTAGTAAAAGTCTGCATATCTTTGTAGTTTAGGGTGTGGCCATTTTTAACCACACCCTCCACGTTTTAGCACGTGGATTATGGCTGCTAGTAAATCAAGATAATTTTTCTTTACAATGATCATGTTTATCAAGACAAGTCATACAAGTGAAGACATTTATCCACAACCATAACATATAATACTTTTTTAGAGTGTAATTATTGACTCTGTGCTTTACTATAGTTATAATTTTACACAATAGTTATTACTATCTAGGCTAAAATACAGTGCAAGCAAAAAATTAATGTTACAACTGATAATTAATACAGTGCAAGCAAAATAATTAATGTTATAACTCATAATTGATGGAAGTCTTCTTTGCCTACATCATTGCAGTTTTCTCCTCGCTCTTCTCCTTGGTTCTTGAAGATCAATATCGGATTATATTCCATTTCCTGCATTTCAGTAACCCATGCTACTATACTTGAATGATCATTTTGATGTTTCTCGATACTTTGAAGATTAAGTTTGTATTCAATGTTGTAAACATCCTGACGATTCATAAGATGC